TCTTCTTTTCTTTCTAAAATATATATATATATATATATATATATATATATATATATATATATATATATACATAAGTGTATGTATATATCGAACTTTATTTTCGAGAAACGTAGAGAAACGGCATAGCGATTTCTTTGAGTATGACGGATAATCGCGGGGCGGAGGAGAGGAGAAGAGCCGCCGGTAGGGATCGAACGTCTTCGGGGTTCGCGAAGAACACGTTCCTGATAATCGAACGAGAATCGTCGTTCGGGTGATGTAAAGAATACGGGACACGGCTGCGTATATTTTTTCCCGGCCAGCTGTGGCCAACGCGAGAGCGACGTCGTCGACGACGTCGGCGTTCTCACGATCTCGACCGTCGCGGATCTTTGTAAATAGAGAAGCGCTTTCGCTCGTTGCGTATCAGTAAGCCGCGAGGGACTCTCGATCAGCCAGCGATCGCGACTCCATTTCATTGCTCATCTCGTTCACATACTTGATTTCTCTGATTTCACTTCCACGCTCTCGTGTTGAATACGTAGAATCCCTCCATTCGGTTTCCGAAAACGAGGAAAGCGAGAAACGACGACGATGGTGGTAGTGGCCGACGAGTGAAATCAAAAAACGAACGGGGCAAATTTACGTGCGATCAAAGCTAGAGGTACAATCGAGATCTCTCCATGATCAACGTGGTGATCGACAAATTTCAATTTATCTTCCACAAAGGCAAGTCTCTTAAACGCCGTATTTTAGAGTTTAGAGCAGGATTTACTGGTGATAGTGATAAGCGATATCAAAGTACGCATTCGTAAGGATAGCGGTAGATACACTTCCGCCGCTTGCGGATCGCGCGATCGAGAGTCCGCTGCGCGGATTCGCGTCGTCGTGACGAATGAAGAACGAACGTCTTTCTTCGAAGAAGATTTGTAAAACTTGTCTTCGATAAGAGAAAGGAAGAGAAGATCCAGTGCCAAATGTATATCTTCCCAGGCGCACGGCGATCGTTTGCTCAACAAGTGCGACCGAGTACTGTACCGATCTTTCGTTTTTGCTAATTTTGACGTGACGTGTTCGGACACGCCGATTCCGCGTGCCCACGCGATGCCGAAGGAGAGAGCCACACGCCAATGGCCATACGATATATATATATATATATATATATATATATATATACATATATATATATTTTCGTGAGAGAAATACGAGATTATCAATTGTTCGAGTCATCAAGTAACTTGATCAGTTTTTGTATATCAAGAGAAGTCGATAGGATTGACGAACGATCTTGGGATATTTCTCGGCTCGTTCTCTCGTATTTTTTCCATTTCCCCAATTTATGTCACGTCAAACGTGCGACACTCTTCACGTGAGTACCTCTGCACTCCGTATACCTTGCACGTGACACGCCATACGCAGTGACATTAGTAATACAGAGCAACTGCGAGAAATCTTATCGAGACATACGGGTACCGACACGTAATTATATTTCCTTAATCACAAGCTCTTTCTCTCTCGATCACGTCGCAAGTATACCGAGTATTAGTGTGTGGCACGTCCCTTCGAGGACACGCGGAAGGCGTGGACACGCACGCTATCGCACTCGGATAATTAGATCGACACGATTATTAGTGTCGCTAGCGGAACAATAGATAGATAGAGAGATAGATAGGTAGATAGATAGATAGATAGATAGACGAATACATGTGCGTGCATCTAATCGTGAAAGCACACCCCCGAGGAATCTGTCAAGAAGAAAAATGATTAGAAATGAAAGCAAATTTCTTGATTTGTTTATATTGTCGCGCAGTAATTGCGAATATTTATATAAAAAAAATATCTTTTTATGATTATATCATGTCTTGCAATCGACACACATACACAATTTTCGCGACTCTCTTGACGCAATTTTTTAACGTTTGAAAGCATTAAATACGCGCGACAAAAAATTAATCTCGCAATTGACTGACTCGATTTCTGGAGAATACCGTTCTTACCAAACTGTTACTTTCACACGTTCTTTTTATTTGTTTTTATATGCTTTTTAACACTTAGGTTTTCTCTCGAGTGCGTGCTTTTCGCGATTGAGCGCATGTAATACGTACGAATAAGTATGACATAATGCGCGCCGGCCGGACGGGCGGGTGCATTATACGCGTATTAATCTTGCTGAAATATTCCAAGAAAGTCTGTCCATTTTTTCGAATGTCTCGAAAGTATTTTAATCTCTATTAAAACGTCGCGCGCGCTGTAGGATCGGTGATCAACGCCAGAAGAATAATTGCGCGCGCGTCAACACCGCGAAATCTTCGCGCCACGATACATATATTATAGGAGTGTCCCTCCAAAAAATTCGGAACAATCTCTAAAGATCACACACGTATACACTTACACGATATATACACTATTATACTTTAAGTTTGGTGCTAAACGGGACACGATAAAGAAAAATACATTATGAGCACATGTTCTCACACACTTCCCTCATGCATATACACACATACAATACACGCGCGCGCGCTTCCTTCATATTACCCACAGAAACGTGTCGATCATCGTGTTAAACTGCGATCACGATGGCGAAGTCTTCTCTGACTTTGCAGACATCACGCGCGATCGACAGATGGATGCAGATGTATGTGTGTGTGTGTGTGTGTGTGTATGCGTATGAACGCTCGTGCTCGTGCAGGTTGTACGTTGCGACGTTTTACAGCATTTAACACATCAGTCGTGACTCGCGAGTATACTAAGCTTCAACGAGACCTTAACATCTACCAGCCCAAAGCTCACCAGTCTTTCTAATCGTTCCCATTGTATTTGTACATGACATGATGTACGATACGATACAATATACAGATTGTCTGACAATTAATGACCCTATGTTATGTGCAGATAAAATTCATCGAACTGAACACCTGTATAATATGATATGCGAGAAGCTGAATAATCAACGATCATAATTATATACACATATCCGGACACATTACAAATGATTAGAAAAATTAGTGGGTTTTGTCCTGCTGAGGTTTCATTGGAGCTTGGTATAGCGTGAACCTAATACGAAATCCTACGGCCATATTTTCAATCGTGGACGCATCACAGATGCAAAGTGACGTGCGTACAGCGTACACGAGCACGAATTCCTCAAACTCCGGTTTATCGAAACAAAATCGCCGCCCATTGCTCGCCTCCCTTTCGATTAAATCCAAATTAATCAGACAGGAAATTGCAATCGATCGAGAAGAGGTAAGAATCTGCGAGTCGTGATTAGTCAGTTTGATTGATCGAAAGAATTCTCTTGCGCATAAATCACACTCTGTGTGACGTGAGTAATCGCGTGTCTTCCCTCTTGGTAGGATCTATAAGCGATCCGAGAAGGATTCGTCTTCTTCAATCCTTTTGTGTCCTCCCCCCTCGTAAACTTTTATATACATTTAAATTTATGGTCGTTTATTCGATTTCCGCTGCAGTCCGCTGAAGATTTATCGCTGTAGTAGCATAAAAGTATACGGTTTTTGGGTATCGTGAAAAAAAGAACCCCGTATATACATATATACATATATACGTACGTACGTATGTATATATGTATTAATGAGTTACAATGAGAAAGCCTACTCTTGTCCTTTTCTAGGATTTTTAACGGGATCTGGAGAGTATCCATTTATCCAGAAACTAACCGGAACTCCTCGTAGTCGTAAAGCAAATTTCTCGTGCATTTCTCAGCGATGAGAGTGCGTTGTTAGTAAAAAGAATATAGCAAACGCGAGAGAAAGTACTAATACTATATAGCCGCAGATATAAAATATTTTATACTACTTTAGACTCTAGATATATACGTGTACAGGATTGTAGGAGACTTGTGTTCGATTTTTCTTAAAAAAAAAAAGGAAATTCGTCACTCGACGCTGTGCCAATATAACGTTCGCAGAGCTGATTAGAGTTCAATAAACTATCGAGCGAGACTTCTTTAATAGCGATTCTAAAAGTTAGAAAAACCACCTTTTAGCTCAAAAAAGAAACAAAAAAAAAGAATAACGGTGCTCTTCTCCGTAAATCGTATTGCGTACGAGTCACGCTTTTGTCGGCGCCGTTAAACGACACTTTGTGACCTCCTTCCATAGCTGATACAATCGTCTTCCATGATGTCGCTACGTTACTGTAAATACAGCGACTTCTGGTTCTCTCAATAAGAAATTAAATCTTCCTCGCAAATAATCGGATACCTCGAAAAAGTCCTTTCCTTTCGGAGAGTGGAAAGGACGATCGGATTTCTGAACAATTCAAGATTCGACTTTGGCAGAACATGTTGCACTCTTCAAATCAAATATTCTGCGCGCTTTCGCGCGACTTGATCAATCACCGAACCAGTAATTACGTAATTAATCGAGTAAGGGAGGCGAGTGAGAGTGGCAGCGCAACTTTAATCTTCCATAATGACTCTTAAGTGTTAAATAATACTTAATCATAAGAACGCGTAAGGCTGAGCTCCTGCATGCCGAGTGCGACTTGGTGCGAGCCAGGAGTATACATATATACCGAGAAGATAAATTATTTATTTGTTTACGAATAACACGAGGCCGTCTCGCGTGATTCGCGCTCTGGGTCGCTCGCGCGCGATCTCCTTCATTATTGTATCGACTATCGAGCGAGTCGTTTATTTCCAACATCCGTTATTCCCTGTGGAAATTCCAGAAACTAACACGAGACATCGAAAGAGCTACGAACAAAGTATCATTTTTCTCTCTTTCTCTATTTGTTCTTCGATGAAATTAATCGCGTGAACTCAATCTTGCAAAATGACGCAGGCAATTTTACGTCGAAAGCTTGAAAACGCACGATCATTATCGCAATTATTTTCTATGAATATTCTCCAAATAATTTCCAATGACACTCTGTCGAATGATTGTTTCAAATCGGAGCGATTTATCGAGATTTACAATGTAGCATCATGTTAAATCAAATGCCACTACACATTGTGGCAGGACAATTTATTTACAGACTGTACTGTAGATCAAACTCATTCGTTTGATGAAAACGCGGTGTGTATCAAATCGGCCAAATCGCAGGGCGAAGTCGGAGATAGCGGTTTCTGGAAATGCGCAGCCCGCACATGTAACAAGTGACGACTATCGTTGTAAATAGCGCAAGGAGCGCAGTGAGCGCCCGTGCAAAATGCGAGTGCCCGTCTAAAAGGTGCATAAGATGCACGTATACGTATTGTGTAAGTCGTAAGAGGAAAAGGAAAAAGAAGAAATCATAGTACTCGCGATTATGCACGCCGTTCGTCGACGGAGAACTAAACGGAACGTATTGTGCATTATGTGTCGGGAAGGAAATAAAATCAAAATCGACCGATCGAACTTTTTCTTCGACTACCACTCACTTCTTGATATAATCCAAAAACGAAATCAACGTTGATATGTCAACAATCAGAAACCTCACGGCAGTTATCACGGCTAGCACCATCTTATCCCTATAATAGTTGACTGGATCCTTATAATAGTTATTGCTAAGTCATTATTTTAGTACAATATAAATTTGTTGCAGACTGACAGTTGTTACTGTGAGATTTTTAATTGCCGATCGTTTCAACGTATGAGTCTACTTCAAAAGAATCATTTCTAACAATAATGAATCGACCTAATTGTTAAAAATTCTTATGTATAAGATCGTCATATTTAAACTGAACCAACATAATCTTAAGTCCTTGTATCTGAAGATTCTTCGCGATAGATCCTGATGATATTCACTAGCTATTGTGATATTCATTGAAACACTATCGTTCTCCGTGGTTTATCTCGATATTACACCGGCGTTGCTCACGATCACAATACATGAGTCCTTCCACTTCACCCGTGGATCTCTTAAGACGGTGATCTTCCTGGTCTCGCTTTGCAGTTGTCTCGTCAGCAGCAATCTCGTGGCTGGTACAGAATTCCAGTATTTACCCAACGCTGGCGTAACATTCGTAGAATCTGTTTCGTTCGTAGAATTCCAATGGGTAATTACATTCACTGTGACTACGGCCGCTCGGCACTCGAATATAAGGAATCGACACGCTTCCGCCAATTCGTTCAACTGGTAGATCCACTCGTAGATCTCGTGGTGCATTTGCTGTGTCGTCTAAGTAACGAATACAAACCGTTGTTAAAAAATAAGCCATTTATAATTGCTGGGTTAAGAATCATAGTAGTGGCAAAACAATATTGCTTCTAAATAATTTTATTAAATTATTTTGAAGCATTTATTTAAATACTAATACTAGGAGAGCAATTATTTTATTCTGTGAATATTTTTATCATTTTATTTATAATTTTATTAATTGTGACATATATATATATATATATATATATAT